ATAAACCAACAGAAATGGCTTGTAACTAATTATTTTTCGGAATTAAATTGATTAGTTACAAATAATAAATTAGGTCCAAATTCACAGTGCGTAGTTAACCACTGATCAACTATTGCTTTTCATATTCACAACGCTCAGTTAATAAAAGTTTAAACCAGCATGCCCCCAAAGTTAAACTGGTGTCAAATTATTGTTTTTTTTTGTGGAATGAATTTCAAATTTGAATAGAAGAGTCTTGATTTTTAGAATTTGTATATTTTCACGCGATATGAATAAATTCATAGTAAAAGTCGTATTTAACTAAGCACTGTGAATCCGGCCCTTAATGTTCAAACTGAAAATCTTGTTTATTATAACGAAAAGAAATAATACAATCGGCAAAGCGACTCACGGTTGTTTTTTAGTATTGAGAAAGATTGCCAGAATTTGTTATTTATTAGCACAGTTTGGTTTTGTCAACGAGCATAAATTAAAAAAAAAATAAATAAAAATTTGTTAATATGTTAAATATGTTAAGATGTTAAAAATACATGTAAAATAATATTTAACTACAAATACGTCACAAACAAGTATTTGAAATAAATATAAAAACTACTTTTGCATAAAATATTTACATAAAAAATACGTACCTATTTAAAAAAATACGTACGAAATCACACGTACATACAAAAGGCCGTAACTATCGAAAAATTCAAAAAAATTTTTGTTTGTTGACCTTACAATTTTGGTAATCCGAATGAGAGAATTTTCAAATGTCAAAAAAAAAACAAATTAATCGCCGTGTTGTACATGAATCTCTATGAAATGACAAATAATGAAGAATAGAACAAATATTTAAGAATACTGCTTAAAAAAGTATTTAAAATACAAATACGAAATACTACTGTAAAATGTATTTAAATCAAAAACACAAATACGTATTTTGTATTTGAAATACTTAACATCTTTGAATACCAATGTTTATTGAAAGAAAACAACTGTTTTGTTCAAAAATCGAAAATGAACGGATAGTCGTTTAGTAGTTTATGAGCGCTTAGTTGAAAAAGTCAAAAGTAAACGGTTAATCTAGTATAAAGTAAAGTCGACCACCTTTCGATTAATCGACTATTTATTTATTTAATCAAATGGAATATAAATCCCTATTGAATATAAAACAGAGAGCTTAAATACTACTAAACACACTAAAATAATTTAGCAGGACAAAAGGAACTGTTCCAACTGACAGAGACGGATCTTATTCGATTAGTCGACTAGTCGATTAATAAGAGCTCTAGTCATAATGTCTTTATTGATTTTCATCTCCGGATGGATTATTTTGTGTGTTTTCAATCAGTTTTCGGCGAATTCGATAGCAGAACCAAGGTTCGTGGCGGCAACGTCTAAAACACTTCGCCTTTTCGTAACTGAATATAGCGTGCGAATTATGAAAACACGGTTTTTAATAGGACCCAACTATATGAATTCAATTTCACGGGAAACATTTGAACTGAAGAGTTCTACAAAAACGTCACCGCTCAAAAATATACTAAGTTAAACTGAGGCGTTTAATATTTACTCAGAAAGAGTTTGTTGATTCCGTCTACAAAAAATTTACTAGCACACGCTATGAACGTACGAAATGGAGAAACAAAAAAAATTGCTTGGCTCTTGCAAATTTTAATTTTGTTAAAAAAAAAATTTACACAGCTGTTCCTATGGTTATGGCTTAATTATACACAGAGCTCGGCAGTACAAAAACATGACGTTCACAAAATAAATAAAATAAAATAAATAATTAAATGTTACATAAAACGTTTGAGCTTCGTAGTAAAGAAAAGAAGACCAACTCGCATATTTTTACGTGGGTTAGCAATAGCTTTATGCAGCAACAGAAAAATTTACAAAGACTGCCGATATACATATGTATGTATCTAAAATAAAATATATGTATGTACCCAGTAGAACTTGGGAGCATCGTACGATTGCTCGGTGAGTACTCCCTTGGGAGTATACGAATACTCCCCATTGCTCCCTATGCTTCTGTGTATAAGCATGTAATTTTGTATACTCCCTTTAACATTGGATGTCCTAGGAGGGGGAGTAATCCCTTTTACCTCCTAAACGAGCAATCGGGGAGCACACACAGAATTATCATCCCACAAACCTCCTAATAGAGCAATACGGGAGTACTCCCACAGTTACCTCCCAGAAACCTCCCAAAAATACAACAAGGGAGTGCACATAGAAAACATCCCATATTCCTCCCGAACGAGCAATAAAGGAGTGCTCCCATTAGAGACATCCCGAAAGCCTCCTGTAGGAGTAATAAGAGAGCAATGATAACGAGCATTTTACATAAGCCAAATAGATTTTGCTATTTATTAAATTTTTTTATTTAACTTTTTAATCGCGTGCATTTGTGCAATATTACAAGATCTTAAAAATAAAACATAAATGATACGTCTTACATAATTGCTTAATTTTAGAATTATATTGCAGAGAAATCATATGAAACTAAAACATAATAATAAAACGGTAAGATAAGATTTGAATTATATGCACCTATGTATATGCACATATAAGTACATATGTACTGCTATATGATTTCCTGGGTGTCAAGGATGCTTGCCTGTTCAGGAATCCACCAAGCGGGGAAATTGTGAAGGTGACTTTGCTTATCTGACATCTTTGTCAATCATGCCTCAGGGAGCATTCTTTAATTGCTCGCTTAGGAGATCTCTCATTAAGCTCCTAAGCGAGCAATACAGGAGTACAAAACCGAGAAATCTCGTTTACTGCTCCCAAATCATGCCTCAGGGAGCATTATTTCGTCGCTCGCTTAGGAGATCTCTTATTTGACTCCTAAACGAGTAATGAAGGAGTACAAAATCGACAAATCTCTCTTATTGCTCAGAAATCCGGTTAAGGGGAGTACTCTTTTATTCCTCACATAGGGAGATCTCTCTTCAAGTTCTAGTGGGTATGTACAAAATTCACTATTGCTTTCACGTCTTCTTGAGACGACCTAACAATCAAATAATAGTTGCCATAGTAAATATCTCAAAAGCATCAGAGATCATTCGACCGAATTCCTAGCTTATGCAGATGGCTACTTATTTCTGATAGCGGCTTAATTTCGTTGTCTTTAATCTTCTTATTTGTAGTGGATTTTATCGGCAGGTAAAATGCTATTTTACAGCTTTCAGTCTGACTCGCGCGCTCTGTCCCCTGTGGCATGCGAAAAAGTGGCATCGTCTCTTCGTTGCTTGTAGTACATATAAGTGTCATTAGGTAGCCTGATTGCTAGCTTGGTTTCTATAGTTTCTCTGTCTAAGGCTTGCAGGATCAGAAGGACCAAAAAATTATAAAAATACAGATTTACATGAAAAAATCAGAAAACAAAAGTTGTGACGATTTTTTTTTAATTTGGGAGAGCTACAGATTTTTCACTTCTTAGAACCTTTTCAAGGCAAATTTTACACACATGTAGCAGCTAGCTCAGCACCTATTGAACGAGTTTTTTCTGTTTCAGGCAGAATTCTAGAAGAAAGACGTACACGACTGCTTGGTGATAAACTCGACAAAATATTATTTTTAAACAAAAATATGAGCTAGTCATTTTAAAATTACATTGAATGAATATTGATGTGAATTCTTTTCTATACTCGTTGTATGTCTTACGTATGTACATATCGTCACCTGAAATGCAAAAAGACGTAACAAACATAATCGTTGAAATGCAAAAACTCATAGCTAATAAAAAATTCAAAATTCACTTTTTGGTTTATATGATGGATTTCATCGAATTACGTACGCACTTGTGCACAAGGGTATTATAACTTTGTTCACATAACAATTGGTTGTAACAGCCAAAACGAATCGAGATAGATATAGACAATCGCATACATATGTTAATGCTCAGAATGAAAAAAAAAATCGATTAAGATGTAACTGTTTGTCCGTTCGACCTCCTGTGCACACGATAACTCCTGTAAAAATTGAGATATCGAAACGAAATTTGGTATGTGTACTTCCTTTGATTTAGGGACGGATGATATTGATATTTTACTGAAGTTTATTTACTAAAAATTGATATTTATAATGATCTCTTGTTGAAATATAAGAATATTAGGCCTTATCATGAGTTTCGCCCGAAAAAAATTCACCCGAAAATTTGTCATCTGCCCATAGTAAATACATGGAAACCAAAAGTGAAAAGTGAACCGGTTCAGGGAAAATTAAACTCATGATAAGGCTGATTATAAATTTTTGAAAATGGGCGTAGCCTCGCCCGCTTATGGTTACATGTGTATATCTCGGTAACAACACCACCCTATATAACGGTACTTTAGAGAAATGCGAAATATTCGGTAAAGCAGTAACTACTGAAGCGAATTAATTCAAAATTGATGTTTGCAATGATTTTTTAGCAAAAATACGTTTATAACAAATTTTTGGAAAATGGTCGTGGCACCGTCCACTTATCACCACATTTGTGTATCTCGGTAACCGTTCCGTCCATTATTGTACTTGTCAAATGAGAGCAAGACGTAGAATATTTTTGAAATCGGAATAAAATTACGCCCACTTTTCATTTAAATTTCGGTAAATTTCAGAGATGGTTAAACTTCGATACTTCGAAATTTAAGGACGTCAATATATTCAAAGTTGATACTGACAACAAACTTGAAAAGAAATAACATTATTATGTACCTTATAACGGTATAAGTTTATCTCATAAAGTCTAACTGAACATATTATCGAAGATGTTTGAAATACCCTGTTTTCCATGTAACGGTAGTTTTCGGAAAGGTGGAAAAACTGTATTTAATACGTACGCCGTGTATTTAATACTCAGCATCGACCGAACTTAGGCTTTTTTACTTGTTTCCGTTACGGTTCAATGTACATATATACATAGTACGCTAGTATGTATACGAATTTGTTTGCCATTGTTCAGTTTACACTACTTTTCATGTCTTTGAATTTATTAAATTGATTTTTATTTACTTCTCTTTTAGGGCTACACATCCTTTTGGAATGATTGCATATCGAGCGGCCTACGTGGTTGCATTCTCATTGAGCTTGGATTACGCGGTCGCGTCATGATGGAGAAGACAGGCATGCGTCGACGCAGCTTGTGCTCCAGGTAAAGTAAATGCAAATATGTATAACGTAAGATACGTAAAAAATTTAATTTATATTAAAAAATAGCTATAGTTATCGGTGTTTCGAGCGTTTTCGGAACTGTTTTTAAAAATTATTAAATAGATATAGATATCTTTGCTGTTACACCGATCTTGATCTATAACTACGGTGACCAGATTTCTGTAAACGAAAATCGGGACATTTCTAGAGCACCGAATCCGAGCATACAATTTTGTTTTTAGAATAAAAAGACGCAACATATTTTAATACAGTTTTATCTAAGGCGAAACAAAGAGAAAAAACTTGAAAAATTATCTCAAAAATGTATACACACATATACGGTGGCGAGAATGTAAATAGGGAAAAGACATTTTAGCAAGTTTTAGTATCTAAAAAAAAAACATGTAAATGATAGTTTCAAATTTCGTAGACATTTACAAAAAATTCATTGAATTTTAACAAATGTTAATCAAAATTCTAAACTTTGTAATCAGACTTTTAGATTTTTTTTTTGATCATGCAGTTTTTGTAAGCCATTAAACTAAATTCGAAATAACTTGGACTTACCGTAGATTTTTGGCAATTTTTTGTTCGCGCATTTTCTTCCATACAAAGTATGTTCGACAATTTTTTGTATGGAGAAAATGAGCAACACATTCCACAAAAGAAAAAATACCAAGAATGAACGGTAAGTCCTAGCTACTTAAAATTTGCACTTTATTACAATAAAATGGAATGGACTACAAACAGAATACTCAGAATGTTTCTAAAGAAATCTAATTAAAAAGCTCATAATTTTGATGAAACTTTGTCGAATTTTGTGAGTTTTTGTACAAAGTTTGATTTACAGAATGATGACTGCAATATAGCGAGAGTAGAGAGAAAGTGCTGCCACGTTTGTACGAAAAATTGTTTTTTGGGCCAGAGTGCAGGAAGACTTTAGTTAAACTAATAAAGAAAACACTGAAAATCGGAATTTAATCGGAACAAATACGAAAAATCGGGACACTTATACGTCCTGAAAAATAAAAAATATTCAGCGGAACAATTTTCTCAAAATCGGTACGAATGGTCACCGTATCTATAACACAGCCAACAAAATTCTAACAACGGCATGCAGCACCACTGTTTTTTATATGATTTTTTTTTCGTAGAATCAGGAAAATGGTCATACATTTTACCTTTTGTCATATCTGGCAAGTATTTTATGTTATCGTTGTTAGAGTTAGAGACTTACGTTGAATGGCTAATAACCCTACAATAAGGCCACTTAAAAATATTGGATAATTTTTACAAACTACATTTTTTTAACTTTTGGAATAAAATTTCTTTTTATGCTGTTAAAAAAAATTAAAGGGCAGATTCTTAATCTAAGGAAAGAAATCCTATAGGAATCAGATCTAAGAGCCCTGCCGCAAAATATTGTTGGTCAGTGTAATTATCGGTATCGTATGTAGGATCTATTTGCCTGTTATCAAGGACGTTATTGTTATGAAATCTCTATAAAAACCGTATAAAAACGGTAATTTTTTACTATAGTTTACATCGATAGTTATCGTTGTTGATAGCTATCCTTATCGATAGCTATAATTATTGATAGTTTACCGTTATTGATAGTTTGTCGTTATCGATAGTTGGTTCTCATCGACAATTTGTCGTTATCGATAGTTTTTCGTTATCGATAGTTTGAATTATCGATAGTTATCGGCATAGAAAGTTATGGTTATCGATAGTTATCGTTATTTATAGTTATCATTATAGACAGTTATCGTTACCCTTAGTTGTTATTGATATAATAATATATTGCCAAAGCTGGCCTTAAAAAATATCTGTGACAACACGTCAGTAAAAGAAAATAATAATCATCTAAATGCACAATTCATTTTCTAAAAGTCGAAATTTTTTGTAATTTCTATGCCTTGTATACTGCATGCTTCATAATGAAATTCAATGCATTGTCGTCATCAATTGCGTATCTAAAATATGTACATCTACAATATTAAATTATCCAACTTCCTATGTTTTAGAAAACTCATTTTAAAATCAGATCAGCCGACCGGCGATGTTCTGCTCGACGAAGCACTCAAACATATTAAAGAAACAGATCCACCAGAATCTGTGCAAAGTTGGATTGAATATTTGAGTGGTAATTTAAAATTAAGCAAAGTTGATTGATTTTATTTGAATTAAATTTTTGACTTACACCATTTTCCAGGCGAAACATGGAACCCTTTGAAATTACGGTATCAATTAAAAAATGTACGCGAACGATTGGCCAAGAATCTGGTGGAGAAGGGTGTGCTTACGACAGAAAAGCAAAATTTCCTACTTTTCGATATGACAACACACCCGCTCAGCGATAATGTGGTGAAATGCCGTTTGGTGAAAAAGGTGAGTTGCAAAACAAATCACAAAATCGACTATTTGAATATATATATATATATTTTTCATTTCCTTCGCTATTCTCGCTTTCAACAAAATAGATACAAGATGCCGTGCTTTCCAAGTGGGTCAACGATCCGCAACGTATGGATAAACGTATTTTGGCCTTAATATTTTTGGCGCACGCCAGTGACGTAATTGAGAATGCGTTCGCGCCGCTAAACGACGATGACTATGAGTTGGCCATGAAACGTGTGAGAGAATTGTTGGACTTGGATTTTGAGGCGGAGGCGGCCAAACCGAATGCAAACGAAATACTTTGGGCAGTTTTTTTGGCATTCAGCAAATAAGATCCTGTTTATACGCATCTGTATTCTTATGGGATTGAATGATGTTAAGCAATCGCGTTATCTGCCAATGCCACATTTATATAGTTACACAAAAAAAAAAAATGATACATACATACACAATTTAATAGTATACAGATAATGCAGAGCCCAAAAGCGAAAAATAAATGAATAGATTTTTTCTAACATATGAAAATAATTACGATAAATAAATATATAAATATTATAAATATGATGTATTTTTTTTTCTTGTGAAAATCTTAACTTTTTCATTATTTACCATTGTTATATAAAAAAAAATTATGAAAATAAATATATACATATATATTATGAATATAGAGAGAAATTTTCGAGAAAAATTGGAAAAAAAAATTTGAATAAGTACATATTTTAAACTAAAGTCATGTCAGCAATGAATGTTGAAATTTGTGAAAAAGTGAGCAAAATGCTAACACACGCACTTACATACATATGAAAAGTAAAAGCGATTAAATTGAAGAGCCAGATGTATAAGATAAAAGTTTTTGTATAGTTAATATAACAGTTATAAAATCTATTTCACACAAGGTAAAGAGAATTAATATTGCATGAGAAATTGGTAAAGTCTGTAAGAAAATAGTTTGNTTTTGCGCATCACTAAAAGTTTTAGCTCCACTAAATGTTTGTCTCAGCGTTAGCAAGAAAAAATTAATAAGCAGCATTAAAAAGGTTAAAAAAAAAATTCGAAGACAAAAATACTGCATAGAACTGCATGACAAAGTATAAAACGAGAAGCTAAAAGGGGTTAGAAAAATAATCAATTAATTTGAAATTTTGCTATTCGCCGACTTTAATGTTAAGATATTATTGAATTCGTATTGCAACTCACAATTTGTTTTTAATTAAATATGTATGTATGTAGTTGCCTGACGCTTTTATTGATACATATACAACAAGTTTTTAAAATTAATAAATGCTTAAACAGATTCCTAAATTTGTTCCATTTCCAGGCTAGCTACTATGTATTAAGTATAAAAAATTTTGTTTCTTTTTTTTTAAATAAATATTTTAACTTAGCAATTTATATTTATATGTATGTACATATATGATTATGAAAAATTATTATTAAAGAAAAAAAAAACGATAAATCTTTTATACACCGTATATGCACTTGATAAAAGAAATTGCTAACACTACAAAAACTGAAAAACAACAGTAACCAACTAAGCTATTACAAAAAAAAAAACGATTACACTCACTCACACACCATACACAAAACTAAAAAAAAAATCTGATGTCTTTTATGCAAAAACTTGCAATTAGAAAATTTGTATACATAGCTAAATACCTAATTGTGTGTACATATATGTACATATTTATGTACATACATACATACAAAGTACACACTCATATACATGAATGCAAGCATTTTGAGCATATATGTATGTATGTACGTTTGTTTTGATGCACACACTTATTTACACACACACACTCACATCGGACATACATAACTACTGAGCATAATATATGTACAACATAAACACAGTATGTAATTAAAAAAGCGAGTCTTAATTATCGAAATAAATTTAAGACAAATAATTAAATTGAGTAATAAAATATATTTGACAGGTACATACATACATAGTATATAATACACAAAAAAAAAAACTAAAAATATGTACATTTTCTTTGTGTTTCTTGGTTATGCCGATCGGTGAGGGATATTGTGGACAGGTTTGTCTCCTTATAAAATATGACAAATGATTAAGGAAGCTCGTTTTAAAATACATCGACAAACATATTCTGAGCGTTCAGAATACATATATGAGTCCGAAAGGAGTCCGAAAGGAGTGGGTGAGAAATATATATAATATATATATAAAGTGCAAGTATGAGGAAGCTAGGACTTACCATAGATTTTTGGAATTTTTTTTTATTGATGGTGTGGCACATTTCTTCCATATAAAAAAATTATCAAACATTATTTTATATGGAGAAAATGAGCGTCACCTTAAACAAAAAAAAAATTGCTAAAAACCAATGGTAAGTCCTAGCTACCTCAAACCTGTACTTTGTTATACTAAAATTGAATAGGCTAAAAAACTGCATATTCAACTTTTTTTAGAGAGCGTAAATAAAAAGTGCAATAATTGAATGAAATTTTGCAGAATTTTCTTTAATTTTGCACAAGGTTTGCAACTTTGATTTTTAGGTTTTTTGTTGTAGAATTAACTATATTTTTATAAAAAATTATCGAAAAATAAAATATTTAAAAATATTATTGACTAACTGTATATACATATGTATGCACGTACACTGCCGGAACAAAGTATTGGCACAGCAAATTTTTCACAATATATGCAACAATTTTTATTCTAATATTTTTCCGCCAATTTTGTATAAAAATATGATTCATTCTACAATAAAAAACATAAAATATAAGTCCCAAACTTTGTGCAAAACTCACGAAAATTTAGCAAATTTTCATGCAAATTTTTAACTTTAATCAGATTTTTTAGAATTTTTTTTCGAGTATGCAGTTTGGTGCCCATATACATATGAGGCCAATAAGAGTCCAATATGACTCATATCGAGGCTCATTTGATGTATGAATTTAAGCTCATATACATAAGTCGACGTTCGAATGAAGGGAAGCACCCTCAGATCGGACTCTTAAATGCGCTCATTATGAGCGTAGAGGCTCCGAAATAGGACACCGCAAAGACTCATTCCTGACTCCAAATGTTTGCTGGAACTTCGGACTAAAACCTGTGGAACTGTCGAAACTACAATTTTACTATCTCAAGTGAGAGTAAAAGGAGAACAGATGCAGAAGCGTATGGGAACGCAAAAAGCACTATTTCCTGTATAAACCTGTTAACTTGTCACAACATAATTATTAGAATTTATACATATTCAAATATTTCGTGGTTTAATTCCATTTTTTAAAAAATATAAGGTACTTTGCTTTCACCGCTGTTAGTTTTTGCTTGCACATGCAAATCAGCTGATCGTTTGACACTTTTCATGAACTTACAGGAAAAAAAACTCCGAACTAAATCCTGTAACTTCTGACTAGGGACAGTTGCTCAGTTACTCTCTCAAAAGTGTTCCCACTTACAGGTTTTATGTCTATAGGAACGACCTCCTGTCTAAATCCTCTAAACGGGACTGCCGACTAACTGTTAAAATGTCATAAGAGTTATAACGGCTGGAAATTCATTGCGATTAATGGTCTAGAAAATGGTCGGAAAACGGTCAAGACCAAGGAATTTTGACATCTGATATTTCATAGCTCGTTGCCTTACTCTTTCCTCAAGAAATAATGCAACAGAAATTTATCGAGCCCTAACCGCAATTTTTTGTTAAAATTTTCTTTTTGGTGCAGAAATATTCCTAGAGAATCTAGCTGCATTTCTGCACAAAAAAAAATATTTTGAAAAAATGTCGCTTGCGTTATTTTGGCGGTTAGGGCTCGATATATTTCTGTTGCAAACAAGGGTTGCCTTGTTATCTTATTTCGCAAAAACTTTAGAAAACGTAGTAGAAAGCGTAGCAAATTTCCTGAGAACTGCGTACTGCCTTAAGGAAATTTTACATGAGAAAATATCTTAGCCAGAGAGCTGGATACTAAACTTAAATGTGAAACAACTAAACATATCGAGTCCTAACCGCCAAAATGAGGTAAGGACATTTTTTTTTTAAATTTTCTCTTTGAATTTTTTACACGGGCGGAAGAATGGGAAATCTGGCAGCAAGGCAAGGACCACCTGCCAATGGGCGAAAGTGCGGGTATTATCTGTCGTTTGTCGAAAAGCGAAGTAGCGGGCGCTACCGTGCCTCAAACAGACGTGCACTTGGTGCAAAACTAAGAGGCGTGGAGAAGGAGAGACAATACAGGCGCACAGGCGCACAGGCGCACAGGCGAAACCGCACTCGCTGACCGATGGAAGAGCAGTAGCTATTACACAAAGGAGAGACTGCGGCCAAGTAAGAAAGGATAGAGGACTTGTCGAAACCACAATCGCTCAAAACAGAAAGAGCAAACTACTAACACTCCAAACTCTCGGTCCAAAAGAGAAACGGGGGCGCATACACCCACTCCGACATTGGGAGCCGAGGCTAGGCACTTAAGAGCCGACTTGGTGCCGCGCAGATGCCAAGCTACTTTTGTGGCGCTAAGGGAGCGTCAAAATGCTGATGATGAGTAGAAACCATGCCAAGAAGTCGCTAAGTTCGGATGAGCTCACTGCCTTACAGGATGTCACAATTGTCGCATCTGCCGGTATTCTGCGGAATATACTTCGGACCAAGTAAATGGCTAGAGAAGGTTGCATCAAACTAACCGTCTCGAAGGGGACCGTATTATGTGCTAAAAGAGACGATGATATACCACCCATTTACAACATAACCATTATCACCCCCCTTGGCCGCAGCGTGCCGCCAATCCAACAGTTTGAAAAGGAATGTGCACCACCTGCTTTGCACAATTAACGCTTTCAAGGCCAGGGTCTCGAGGGCATCATACCGGACCAACTTCAGAAGTCTACGGATATTTCGTGCCGCTGGTTTTTCCCCGTCTGCATACGTGAGTTGCTTAAGAAGTGGTTATATTCTAAGGCCTTGTAGGCTGGTCAAAGTTACAAGGAGGAGGTTAACAAGGAGACCAATCACTTACTCCTAATTTTTTCAAAGACGCTTGATGAACCTATCGATCTTTAATGATAAGCAGAATACATATTTGCAGAAATCACAGAGTAGTCTTGGTAGGACTATGCGGTTGGTCCCTTCTATGTATATCAAGTGGGTTTTCAATGCCTTGCCTGAGGCAATCGTCAACTATCAAACAGACTGGACGTCGAGGTTGATTTTGTAAGGTTTACTTATCGCACGCTTCGCTCAGTGGGGCAACGACCAGCTGAAGGCCATTGTCTAGAAGGTGATATGAAACCGGTTTTTCGCTGACACTCGCTGAACGAGTGAATAATCTGCGTTTGTTTCAGGACAGTAAGCTTTTCTGGTAGACAACCCTTGAGCAAGAGCAAGGCATTAAGAGAGCGGTGATAGCCTTATATTAGCGCAGGGGGGCCATCGGAAAGCACAGGGAACCTCTCACCGACAAAGCTTTACCGGCTCTATTTAACCATAAGGAAATCATTTTTATTGTATGGAAAGGTT